ATAAAGAAAGGGAGACTGAGAGAGAGATTAAAAGTGAGGACAGGGAGCAGACAGAAGAAAACTGGGAAAGAGAGGGATCCAGAGAGAGAGGGGAGAGAAGAGAGTGGGAAAAGTGTGAGGGAGCTCAGCATAGGAGCTGTGCCTGTGAGGTTGCAGAGCACCCTGGGGCCATGGTCAGAAAGCAGACAGGCAAGACCCTATGCTCCCCCTCTTTCTCCACTATGGACACCCAGTTGGTGATCTGAAAAAGATTTGAGATCTAGTAGTGGATCCTATCTACTTGATTGAAACACCCACTCTAGATTCATGAACATCTATTCCCAAAGCATTCAAAATTTCTATTTCCCTTGTGTAATGTTAAATCAGGTTTGTCCCCAGTAAGCACTTCATTCCCGTTTGCCCAGGACATTTCTCTGTTTCTGTCCTGAGAGCTCCATGTCCTAGGAACCTCTCGGTCCTGGGAAATCTGTGATGGCTGGTACTATACCACAAGCTATAGTGAGGGTTTCAATGCCACGATAAATGATCCAGAGTAAACAGCTTCCAGTCTGAAAGTGAAGTATTCAGAATGATATGTATAATTGGTTCCCTCTGAAACTCATAGAGATAGGCCACCCCCAGAAAATGCTAAGAAGTTTGAGAGAATAGTGACTTTCAAGATATCTAGCCGAGATGGGCATGGTGGCACATGTCTATAATCCCAATTACTTGGAAGGCTGAGGCAGGAGAATTGCTATAGCCTAGGAGTTCAAGGTTAGCTTGGGCAACATGGCAAGACCCCATCTTAAACAAATGACAACAACAACAAAAAAGCATGTCTAATTGAATCCGAAAGAAGGAGGGAGACTGGGGTAAGTGTCCAAAAATTGACATATTGCCCTCTCACATTTTAGCTTTCACCCTACTTATTTTCTTGTATGTATATAGACTGGCAAATCACCTAACTTTCCAATACCTTGATGTTACAATTTAAAAGAAAAAAGGAAAACCTTTGTTATCATCTCCCTTTCTCATTTATTATGAAGTGGGCCTTCCTTCCTTCCTTCCTTCCTTCCATCCTTCCATCCTTCCTTCCTTCCTTCAACAAAAGGCATTGGATGAAGGCCATGCCCCTGTCACCTTTCAGAGTGAGGCAGTATCTGGTAGCAACATCTACAGGGTGCTCAGGAAACCCTTTTATCCTTAAATCAGCCATGGGTCTCTTGCCAGAAAACAAAACAAAACATGGGACAAGGATGCATATTATTTTAGACTATTATTCAATACAGTTTATCTAACAGTCCATAAATAGAATTTGATAACCTGCTGTCTGAAAACTTTGTGTGAGGCAGGGAAAAGTATATTGAAATGTCTTCCATGATCATGTGCTTCTTAGAAGTCAAGTTTTATTTTGTTTTGTTTTATTGTTCTCACATAGAGTAGAAGGGGTTGAGAAGCATCCTGTAGCACAGGTGAGAAACTGTGAGAAAAATGATGGCCCTGAATCCAGGTCTTGCTGTCATGGGGGCAGCCAAAGGTTGATGGTATGACAGCTCAATGTGTTCTGGAGTTTCTTCAAGGTGACAAGAATCAGAACTGTTATCTAACTTTATCAGTATTCATTTTGATATTAGCTATCTTGGCAAACTTTTTAGATTTTGAAAAAATGAAAAAAATGGAGTTTCAAAAGAAGCAAGTAATTGTTATTCCTCTGTGTCTCATGGATAAAGATGTGATCTTTTTTTCTATTGCCTATGGGAAAAACTAGCTCCATTGCCACTTTATTTTATAGTAATTTTCAAAGAAAACATGGCAATATTTAGATGGATGTTCTCAGTATCAGCTGTGGCTTGGGAGGAGTGTAGTTTTATAAACATCTTGGTGCTTGGCTCTCCCTCTAGACATTCCAATCTGATTGGTTTGAGGTACAGCCTGGGCATAGAGATTTTAAAGTTGGGTAAGTCTAATGTTGAAAAGTACTGATTTTAGGGCAGGGCACGGTAGTGCATGCCTGTAATCCCAGCAGTTTAGGAGGCTGAGGCAGGAGGATCACAAGTTGAAAGCCAGCCTCAGTCACTTAGTGAGGCCCTAAGCAACTCAGCAAGATCCTGTCTCTAAATTAAATGTACAAAAAAGGGCTAGTGGGGCTGGGGTTGTGGCTCAGTGGTAGAGTATTCACCTAGCATACATGAGGCACTGGGTTCAATCCTCAGCACCACATAAAAATGAAATAAAGATATTGTATCCACCTACAACTAAAAAAGTAAATATTAAAAAAAGAGGGCTGGGGATGTGTCTCAGTTATTAAGTACCCTGGGTTCAATACCTTTTCCAAAAAAAGAAAAAAAGAAGAAAGAGAGAGAAACCCACTGGTTTTGATTAATTGACTATTGGTTTAACGTTTTATAAAAATTAGTGATAGTTAAAATCAATATTCAGTTTAACTTTTTTACAATTGGAATGAAAATATGAAGTATGAAATAAAAATAAAAATTAAACACATATTAACCAAATATGTGTTTATTAAAAGGATATTTTTAAGCCAAATATAATCATTACCCCATTTGTACTCATTTCATTAGAATAATACACTTTAGCCAAAGATTATGAGAGTTATGAGCCATGTACACACATGGATTTATCATTAAAACCTGGAAACTGCACTCCTCCCATGCAATTTCCATATTTGGCATTGAGTCAAAACCACAAAAGAGAGAGAGCTTCTAAAATGTGTTCCATTCTCATTTTGTGAGTTAGCAGCAAAGACTATTAGCTTTAAAAGGCTTGGTGATCCTAAAATTTAACCTTGTGGAAACCTGGAAAATCAGAGGTTGGCTGAAGGTCATGTAGCTCAGTGATGCTGAAGCCCAAGTCAACCCTGATTTCTGACTTTGATGCAAGGCTATTCCTACCCCCCTGCCTTTGCCTTTATAAGTATTTAGAAAATATAAACTGGGTTGAGATTGGAGTAGACAGTTGGAAAATGAAACAAAAGAAACATTTAAATCTTAGACTTTATCTGATAATATACTAGAATTATTCAGAAATAGACACTACAATACAAAAGTAGCCTCACTCTACTTTCCTATTTGCTAGATAAGGTTATCTTATTTGATGACTGTTCTGCTGTGCATCACTCCTGCCAGGCTGCAGTATATCGGGTATTAATTGAGAAAAAAATAAAAAAATGATAAAGTGACTGAGTGTTTTTTAGGGTCCAGTTTAGACAAAAATAGGTTTTGCTTCAAGAGTCAGGATTCATTGAGATTGCAAATATTTGATTTGCTTTCCATTATCATAAAAAGCAATATGCAGCTATAAATGCTCAGAAATTGATAAAGATGCAGGAAATTTTGAGGCAAGACCAAATTTTCTTGAAAATAATGGATAGTTCTTTCATATCTAGGTGAACCATAGATTTGTAGCCTTTATTAGATTTCCCAAGTCATAGAAGAATGACCCTTGGTGGGATGTATGGCACACAGTTGAGATTTATTTCTATATAGTTATACATAATCAAATCTAGCTATGAGGCATTTAAGAAGCATATTGTTTATCAGAGTACCTTTAGAAATAACACCGTTAAATTTAACCTAACTAAAACTTCCTGATCTGATAAATTCTCTGGATAAGAGGAAAAAAGACCTCCTGATATGTTGTCATGGTGTGGATATTCTTTGAATTAAAATGTCGTTAGGGAAGTATGTATTTCCATATCAGTTATTTTATCTAAAATCTAAAAGTCCACACAGAAGTTAATTTGAAAGCTTGGGGAGTTGATTAATTGGTTTCTTAACTCGTCATTGATGTCCCAGGTTTCTGCTTTTCCTTGGAACAATGACCCTTATGTTCATAGTTTTGTCAACTACATTTCCCATCTTGGAGACAAGCAACACAAAGAAGGTGCTGCTAAATTGCATATGACTAATGAGCCATGGGAGAATTTAAATATTGTTTTTGTTTTGAAAATATTTGGATCAGAATATTTTTCCAAGATGAATTGGAATCCTGTGTTTACAAAAAGAAAAAGATGACAGATAGTTTTAGGGGAAAAATATCTCTTTACTTATTTAATTTAAAGAGTCCTTGGGGGCATTGAAAGGAACATTGGCCTTGGAAATTAAGCATTTGGTTCTGAGTCTCGCCTTTATTATAACTAGATATCTCATCTTTAGAAAGTCACTTGGCATCTCTGAAGTCAATCATCTGAGAAATAGGACAATAACCTGAGGCATAGTCATTGTAGGGATGGTAGCAACTTATATGTTGTAATGCATGCTAAAGTTATTTTTACTTTCCATTAGTAAACTCCTTCAATTTTTTTTCTAGTCCAGAAATAACTGTAAGTTCACAATGGAAATGTATTAATAGCTGGGACTGTGCGATCTAAAAATAGTGATATGTGATATATGCCTTTCAGTTTGGACAAGCAACATCTGCTGTATATTTTTTTTTTTCTTTTAGAAAAAGAAAATAAATAACCACTGTACTTTCAACATCAACTTTAGCAGGTATAGGTTGAGAACTTATCCTAATAAACAGAAATAACTGACAAAATTAACATGATTTTCTCAATTGGTACAATTCAAGTCACTGAAAGATCTGTCTGTATCACTTAGGAAAATCCATTATTTTTAGCACACAAATGTCCAACTCATCCATTCAAAATCGTTCAAGTCATGATTGTGCAATGTTTAAGTATTGGCTTCATTTTGACTTAAAGATCACTTCTTTACCTTCAAGAGTTTATTTTTACAAACTATTTTTCCCCTAAGAGATGACCTCTTGAGCTATCACATTTCAGCATAAGAATATACAAATTCAGTCAATCAAGAATTTTCATTTGTATACCAACTCAAAAGTGAAGCTTGACAAAGAAAATTTTCCTGCTCTCAGTAAACTCTCTTGGATTTTTAAATTCTAGAGTGAATATGAGACTCTCTAATCTTTGGGCAGTGAGTAAAGGTGCACTCAGAGATGGACTAACCTGGCCCGTGCTTCTCTGGTTGTTGTCTTTCCAGCAACACCCCTGAGCTCACTCAAGCCCCCACGGGTGGAAGCTGCTCCGGTGGTTGCATCTCCCTATCAAAGAAGAGATTCAGACAGATACTGTGGGCTCTGTGCGGCCTGGTTTAATAACCCTCTGATGGCCCAGCAGCATTATGATGGCAAGAAACACAAAAAGAATGCAGCAAGGGTTGCTTTACTAGAACAACTTGGGACCACCCTGGATATGGGGGAGCTAAGAGGTAAGAGCAACTTTTCTAGCTTCTGCCAGAAACCTGGGCTTTCCAAGAAAGGATTGTGTTTTCACAAATTGAGATCATTGTTCTTACTACTTTAAGAACAATGTAAGGAGAACATGAAGGTCACCCAACAGAGACGGAAGAAAAAGAAAATGAGCAGCAAACTAGCTTTAGCCCAAACTTTGTAATCTCCTTTGTTTCAGTGTTTCTTTCCATATTTTGATTGACCTTCAGATCAAAGGCACCCATCCATGAATCAGATTTTTTTTCCTTCTGCTTTATTCCTAACCCATTTTATCCTGTTGTCCCAGATGAGGAACATCTGTAAAAACTGAAATATAGTACATCTATATAATATAAATAGGTGCTATATCATACATTTATAATACTATGAATATAATTATTATATACAGTGATATTATAATCATAATGCAATAGTTATAATATTAATATAATAATATATAAGATCTAGATTATGATTTACCACTTATTTTAGTATACCTGTGTCAATTTCATTAAAATATGCACAGAATTGAAAACTTAGGATTTAATGGGTTAACTATGTTCTCTAGTGAATGCTTTTGCAGATAAGCAGTGTGAGAGAAGATGCTAAAAAAGCCAAAAGGCATTCTCTTATTTTAAACTTGTATGCTTTTATGAATTCAGACCAAACAATGGTGCTGTGTGCACTATCTAGCTATTACCTCCTTGCTTTACCCCAGCCTCTAACAGGTGTTTGGGGGCTACTGGAAACTACAACTCACTTGCAGTTTATGTGAGGAGTTTCAGAAGGTTCTGAGCAGACTTGGAAACTTCCTGTGGATGCCCTAGGAAGCCACAACCAATTTATGGGACTTCATGGACTATTTCCACATCAGCTACCATTTAAGCTTTCTTTGATCACCTGAACATTTTTGATCAGCTTTGTGTTGGCAGTGCAGAAGCAGAACTAATCTGCATACTACATTTTAAAATGTGTTTTCCCAGAAAAAAATAATTCTGCAAAGGAATCCTGTTGATCCCATACCTCAGATTTGGTCTTTAAAATATCAGATATTGCTTTATTTTCTTGTCAGAGTACCATCATTAATAACAGCTGTTATGACAAAATTTACAAATTGATTTTGAGAATATAACCTGCATTTAAATTGGATTCTGCCTGTGAAATCTATTGTTCTTATTTCATCTGGATCAGGAACTCTAAGAGGAATAATTATTATAGGAATTGAAATGTCTGATCCTTAACTAAATAAGTGGGATGCAAGATCTTGCTACCTGAACTGAGTGGAAGGACAGGTCAATTACAAATATATTGCTTGAGAAAGACTACCAAAGAAAAGGACTTCAGCTGGAACTGAAAGAGTAGGTGTAGTTTTAACAGGCAAGAAGGCATGCCACCTAGCAGAATCATAAATGTATGGGCAATTGGGAAGGAAGCATAAGCCATAGGCAGTTAATAAATACATTATCCTTAAAGAATCCTTTATTACTATATAGATTTGAGATTAGGGGTCTGTGAGTGCACCTATAGAATTTAGTTAAAGACATTTTTCCCCAAGATAAATGATTAAAATAATAACTAAGAGTAAACTTTAAAAGTAATTTTTGTGTTTGCATTCTAGCTATAGAAAAATGACATGGGGTTTAATATTTCACTATGTCAGATAATCTCATTGTAGAGTTTTTGAGTTGTGGCATTTTAGCTTTTTGTTGGGGATTTCTTATGTTTTCAGTCTATGTCTTGTTAAAAAATATAAGACAAGTCTCTCTGTAGCTGAAGGCCTACCCCCAACTCAGCTGTTACTGGCAGATAACAAGTTGGCTCAGTGACTCCTTCACGGCAGGGCACTGAAGGAGAAAAATAGGGCTTTATTTATGTTTTGTGCCAGATATTATGACTTGAAGAAGAATTATTCCTAGAGCACATTCTTCCTGTCTATTTTGAATTATCTATGCTGCATCTTTTATGTATCACCACATCTTAATGACTTGGGCATCTGAATTCTGTAACATTTGAGCAGCTTGTCTTTCATACAAAAGACAAAAAGGCTGCTCTTTGACTTGATAACTCAATGTGACTATGACTCATGGAATGTGATTAGCATTGAACGCAATGTCCTTGAATCCAACCCTTTTTACCCACCAAGGGTGACATTCTGATACATATTTATTCAAGTATTAAATATTGCAAAAGCTTGAGGAATGAAGCAACTATGGCAACCCAGCACTTCTGAAAACGCACACACATACCTGCACACTTATTTCTAGAATGATTCTAAAGCATTAGAATCATTTGTCATTAATAAAGGCAAAAATGTTAATCAGTAAAGATAGGCATATCCAGAACCTTCAAAAAAAAATGTCATCAGGCATCCAGAGCATGATATGTCAGAGTGGTGGCAGGCTAGACATTTTCTTTCTTTCTCTCATAGCACATCTCATGTTTTTAAACACTATTATTTACTTATTTATGCTGTTTTTCTGTCTTCCTCCCTGCTCTCCAAGTAGATTGCCAGCAACTTGAAGAAGACATCTATGTTTATTTTGTTCATTGATATCAGTGCTCAAAACACCTCCAACAGTTCCAGACTCCCAGTAGGTGTTCAATAATTCGTAAAAAAAAAAAAAAGAGAGAGAAAACCAAAAATGAAAAAAAATAGTTAATAAAACTGACTTAAAATTCTATAACTCTAATATGACAATCATTTTTACTTCTAAAATGATCCTAGTTGAATATTTTATAATAAATTATTTATGGATCTGTTTTATAAATGCTTTACATACAATAAAAATGTTAAGTACTATAGTTTTATGAGTTTTGACAATGCAAATATTGGGGTGACTCACACCCATATTAAGATATGTAACTTTTATATTATGGGAAAGATTCAATGTTACCTTTTCCAATCAACCCAAATCCTCTGATCCAGGGGATCACTTTCTGATTTTTTTTTTTTTTTTACAAACAATTAGTTTGTTCTGAAATTTCATATAAATGGAATCAAGAAGCATATATTTTTGTATATGTTTCTAGCTCCTTTTTCATATTGTTTAGGGTAAAGTATTTGTATTATTGAGTAGTATTCTACTAACAGGAATCCCACAATTTATCCATTCACCTCTTGATGACTTTTGGATTGTTTTGGTACTAGTTTGGATACAGCTTCCATGAATATTTATGTTCAACTCTTTCATTTCTATTTTGGTCAACACATGTTTCACTTCTCTTGGTAAATATGTAGGAGTAGAATTTATGGATCTTGAGTTGTATATTTTTAACCATAAGAAACTACTCAAATCCAAAGTAACTGTGTTTGTTTGTATTCCCAAAAATAACATATAAGAATTCTTAAGCCTCACTAACATTTTCTTCTGTCGCTTGTTTTTGCATTTGATTTTATTTTTAGTTAGTTTAAAAAGGTGGTTTTAGTTTGCCTTTCATTAGTCATTAATAATGTCAAAAACTTTTTTCACATGTTTATTGATCATTTCTGTGTCTTCCTTTGTATGTCTTTTGTATATATTTTAAAAATTTGGTTGTTGATCTTTGTATTAATGAATAGTAGGAAACATGTCCTTAATTACATATATCCTTTGTGAATATTTTCTCCTAATTTGACACTCATTTTCATAATTAAATGTTTTGATGAGTAAACAATTGGAAAGCAGGTAAGTCTAATTAATTTGTTTCTGTATTTTATAATAATTTATATATATATATATATATATATATATATATATATATATATATATATATCTTTGCCTGAATCCATTATGCAAGATAATTTTGTGTGTTTTCTTCCACAAGTGTCATAGTTTTAACTATCTCAATTTTTGTGTGTGGTGTGAAGTAGGGTACTGAAACTCATTTTGCTTCTGTTCATTTGCACTATTGTTAGAGAAAATTTGTTGAAAATATTTACTTTTATTCATTGAATTGCTTTGAATTACTTATTTAAAATCTATTGATTGTGTGCGAGTCTATTTCTGGAAAACTTATTTGTCTCTATGGCTCTTTGTCTTGTATACCACTGCCACACTGGATTGATTATTTTGGTACTACCAGAGTCTTGAAATGAGGTAGTGCATGTTCATTTTGTTGGGATCGTTTGAAATCCTTTGCATCTTTGTATACATTTTAGAATCAACTTGTCAAATCTCTCTACAAAAAAAGCTGGTTTGAATATTGAATGGGATTTAATTCAATTTATAGGTCAATTTGGGGGAAAATAAAATTTTTCAAAATGTTGATTTTTTTTTAGTCCAGGGGCATCCTATATTTATATATTTTTTATTCTTTAAGTTGTTTTATTCTTTAAGTTTTATAGTTTTCAGTGCAAATGTTTTTCATAGCATTTAATGAATTCGTCCTCAAGTATTTTATATTTTTTATCTTTGGTGTAATTAGAGTTTTTGAAATTTCATTTTTGTGTATTTGTTACTGAAACAAACTGGATTCCTGTGATTTATACCTTTCTATGTATTATTTGTATGTAAATTAATATTTCAAATAATTTGCACATATTTTTGGTGTTTACATTATGTAGTCTTGGAAACTCTTTAGAACCATGTTATTCTTTTTCTTTCTTTGCTTCAAGTGGTAGATCAAATTTTAAAAAGGAAATTATTCTTATAAAATAACAAAGAATTATAAGTGCTATTCCCCTAAACAGTTATTAAAATGATATTGACTCAATTTTATTATTATTTGTTCCAGAAAACAGTTTCTGTGTCTACTTCTTAATTTTAATTTAATAATAAAAATCTTTCTTCTCTTCCTGAATATGTAATGTCATGTAGAATACAAAGGGAGTTATTGAATTATGAAATTATACAATTCAATGGTCAGAAAATACTTATAAGATTTTCTTTGTAGTTTAAAATCTTCCTGCCAGCATAAAACATAAATAGGAGGCAGTTTCTTATTTAGAAACAGTGGTTTAAAGTTATAAAATTATGGCTAGTTGCAGATAGAATATTCATTTTACAGACCTTTATAATTT